GCAAAGCCATTTGAACTGCAAGGTCGGCGGTTCAAGCTCACCAGCTGCTCCTCGGAAACCCTATACAGGGTCACTATGGGTTGGAATCGACTTGATGGCACTTAACAACAACACTGAACAATAAAATGAATAGCATTTTTAAAAATTAAGTTTCTAAAAACATAAAAAGAACAAGAAGGCAGGTTTCCTGATAGTTGCAGAACCATCAAACCAGCCCTTGCCTGCTTTCCTCTATACTTTGTTTATATGAAAGAGTAGTGAGTTTCTATCTCAATTAAGCTTTTCTTTGAGAAGCCAAAGAGTTCCACGATGGTGTAAATGGTTAAGGTAATCTGCTGCTAACTGAAATGTTGGAAGTTTGAATCCATCCAAAGGCACATTGGAAAAAAAGCTTGGAGTTTTACTTCCAAAAAGTCAACCATTAGAAATTCTATTAAAAAGTTATACTCTCACACACATGGGTCACCATGCCTTCTAATTGGCTCAACAGTAACTGGTTTCGTTACAGAGTTAAACTCATGCATATGATGAGCAGGACAAATCTGTCTCGTTAAAGAAAGACTAATTTGTAAATAGGAGTTTTCTACCCACTCACTCTCCCTTCATTCATTGAAAAAAAATATTCAGTATTCTCTACCAATAATTTCTTCACTCAATACTTAGAAAAAAGGCAGGAATTCTATGGTGAAAATGGTAGCACTGAAAAAAACAAACGCCATTGACACTGGTATCCTTGTTTACTTCTCAAGCCTACTATAGCCTCAGAGAAGCAAAGATTTCTGAACACATGATTATCACAACAGAGTTATAGTCATGTGTTTACTGTTAATTATAATCATTCATGGTAGGATATGAGCATTTCTACTGTATTATTTTGAAAACTTGTCTTGGTTCTCTTCCCTTCCTTAGCAGCAACTTGTACAATGGCTGTTGTTGTTGTTGGGTGCCATTGAGTCGGTACTGATTCATAGCGACTTTATGCACAGCAGAATGAAACACTGCCTGATCCTGAGCCAACCTCACTACTGTTGCCACACTTGAGTCCATCGATGCTGCCACTTGGCCAATCCATCTCGCTGGGGGTCTTCCCACAAAGATTTATAGCCTCAGAAATGCTATCTATAACAGGGTCTCTGCGAGTTGGGACTGATTTGACAGCACATAACAACTTCAATATTGTTAAGGATGATACTTGTAGATGATACGATTCTAAACATAGAAAATCCCAAAGACTCAGCAAGAAAATTGCTAG